CAGCAGGGGGCTGGACTAGACGATCTCCAAGGTCCCTTCCAATTCTGTTCTTCTGTTACTCTCAATGTAGCATGTTGATATGTCTTTGATAACGTTTCCTTCTCAGTTATCCTACCTCCCTCTGCCATCAAGTTTCATGTTTTTAGCCTTTTCAAAAGCCATGTTGAACTTTTTTTTCTCGTGTCAGGCTGTAATCTGCATTGGATGACCTTAAGCATTATTTTATTAGTGTGTGAAATTAAGGATATTGAATGATGATATGCACACTCAATATATTAACTCTCCTCTTTTTGGTATGGCAATGTAGATTGGCACCGTGTCAAGCACTGTGTCATTCTCCAGACGGGCCTCCGTGGAACCTCGCTTGGAACCTGCAGAGATTATCCTTTTGCTGCTTGTCACATTTCCATAAATGTACCATCAATTCCCCTAGAGGGAGGACATCAATTTTGAAAAGACCACAATGTAAAGTGAGAACCATCAAGCGATGGAGCAGAAGTTGCCTTCGGAGGTGGTGGGAGCTTCATCCCTGGAAGCTTTCAAGAAGAGACTGGACGGCCATCTGTCAGAAATGGTATAGGGTCTCCTGCTTGGGTGGGGGGTTGGACTAGATGACCTACAAGGTCCCTTCCAACTCTATCAATCTGTATCTGTATCTGCCATCAAATTCTCCCCACTGAATATAATCTTCTAGACACGGAAGTCTCTGAGTTATAATGTAAGATTAGAAAGAGTGCCCAGTGCAGGTGTATTTTGTCAAATGAAGCTTTGCTGATCTGTGCAGCAAAAACTGGTGATTTGCAACTGGACAATGGAAAGAATTTGGCCTTCACATAAAGCAAAACTGAGGCTGTCAGGCTCTGATTTCTTGTTTTGGGAAGTTTGCTGCTCCCACCCCCCCCCAAAAAAAAATCAGGGCCAGTAATCCACATTTTCTCACCTATCACTCGCTTGTGCCAAGAGGGCACATGGCACACAGGTTGGCATTACAGCACAAAAAAACCCTAGCTTTTTGTGTTTGCATGTTCCAGGGGCCTCCAAAACGGGCAATTTTAAGATCATGCTGGCTGAGGAATTCTGGGAGGTGAAATACACAAGGCTTAAAGTTGCCAAGTTTGGAGATCCCTGACTTATACATCTAGTTTGCAGGAAGCCAGTGTCATTCCGTTGTGTGTTTCATGCAAACTGGCCCTTCAGAGTTGCCCTGGAGCTTCCCACGCCTCTGTGATATTCCCCCAATCCCTCCCCCCAAAAGGAATTCTTGGCTGAAGAGTAATAGTTAAGGAGGCTTCATAATATGAGGGAGGAAAACCCCCCTTTCTTACTTCCAAATTGTATTTTGCAAATAAAATGTATTTGCAATTGTATTTACTTTTTACCATTTGCTAAGCGGGACTCAATTAGCAAGGTAAGAATAGCTTTGCTGGGTCCTGCAGGTATCTTCAGTTTCTCTTCATCGGATCCCTTGGCCATCCCCCCAGGCAGCTTTCTACCAGCTTCCCTCCAGAGGCTGTGGGGGCTCCGTCACTGCAGGTTTGAAAGAAGAGAGTGGGCAAGCCTTTGTCTGAAAGGGTCTGGGGTCTCCTGCCTGAGCAGAAAGGGGCTGGACTAGAAGACCCCGGAGCTCTCAAAGGGTCACCACCTCCAATACACATGACATAAACATGACAAAATACATACAAAATTATGCCTATACACACATATATGACATGACACAGAGAAACAACCCTGTCTAGTTGAGAGGTACAAATGAGAGGCTTTGTTCCAGGCTGACCCGGCATTTAGCAGGAACAGCCCAAAGCCCAGAGGGCCTCCCCAGGTGCCGTGACCAGGCCTTGGGGAAGAGGCAGGGGGGCTGCTACAGGACACCGGGGCCATGTTCCCGAGAGAGGAGGGGGGCGTATCCCCAAGCCCTTCGCCATTTCTCCTCTGTCTACCATCCCCCCCACCCCCCGGTCCCTGCCAGCATCCCCCCAGGCCAAAGGGCCCCGTGGAGTCAGACCATCGCTCTCACGGAGAGATTTCTTCTGATTCCCAACCAATTCAGCATCCGCCCCAACCTGGGCCTGCTCTGCACCTCCCAGGGTTATCCCCCGCCCCCTGCATCCCATGCTTCATTTAATGACTGCATCAGGGAGAGAAGGTGGAGTGGGACGGTGGCCTGGAGGTGGAGCTCTTGCCTCACAATCAGGAGGCTGTGAGTTCAATCCTAGGTGGAGGCAGGTGTTCCTCTCTCTGGGCACAATGAGATCGTATCTGCCGAACAAAACTCCGCATTGGCGACAGGAAGGGCATCCAGCCATTAAAACACTCTGCTAGCTCCGTTCAGTTGCCTAGGCTCCATCCCGCAAGGGATTATGGGGTCATTAAATGAAGATGATGATCAGGGAGGAGGTATGGGGGTTCACTAAGTGAGGCAATCTTAATAATCATCACAACCTGCTAGGCAGGCCCAAAATTGACCTAGGCATAGCCATTTTATTTAGCCTTATTATATATTCCTTTTCTTTCTTTCCCTTTGCTGGTTATGGGGGGGGGGGGTTGGGTTTGCCACATTCCTAAGTGGGGAGGAGTGGAGCGAGAGAGAGTTGTTGAGGCTAGGTGGTTCTTCTTCCCGTGGGAACGAAAGCTGACCCTGCTGAGACCTGGAGGTGGAGATTAATGACACCAGGCAAACGTTGATCTACTTCTATTTGGGGAATGTGACTTTTGGGGACTGTTTCTAACTTCCAATATTATGTGGGGTAATTCCGGGTTGGGTCAGATCCGGAATGACAACAGACTTTGCCAATTTGATGCTTCCCTAAATAAAAGAAATTGTTTTGGAAGACGGACTTGGCTCTTTAAATGGATTTCATCCCTTGGAAACCTGACACTGCTATTGTAATGGCTCTTTATGGTCATAAGACAAGGACTATCTGTAATTTGATTCTTGTCTCTGACCAGAATCTTCATGGGTGACCCTTCTGGGCATGGGGGGGTCCAGTGATATGGCTCAGTCCACCCTCAGGACGGCTGAACTCTTCAGCACTACAGGAGAATCGTTCCTCGTCCCCTGGATGGCAGCAGCAGAGGGAGGCGTCTTCAAGGAAGGTTTCCGGTGACCAGGAGTTTCCTTTGATTCATGTTTCTAGTTCTCCACGAGGAACGTAGAATCGGACAAGGACTGCCAAGGCCAAAAATTCTCCTTTATCGCACATAGAATTGAACTTTAGTAACTTGCAAATTCTTTATAATGTTAACAACCAGCATCTTCTGCCCTGTTTATCAATTGGCCTGAATGTGATGTGGCCAAACTGACGGGGATCCTAGGTTTCCAAGAGCTGAGGACATAACTCAGAGGGGGGCGTGACACACTCCCGGTCCTTTCTCGGTCCTTCCTCTTCGTGCTGCATGGCATCCCAGGGCTGGAGGCAAAACCACCTGGGGTTCTCCGTGGCCGTTTGCGCTGGCTGTGGGATCCTTATTGCTGGGAATTCTATCATTTTACTCGTCATTGTATCAGAACTGGCCCTCCACAGGCCCATGTGCTACTAGAGGCCCACCAGGGCACATGGGCAATAAATGGAGAAACTGCTTTGGCTACCAGTGCTGTCAAAATGTACAATCACCAGATTTAGAACTTAATTTTCTCCAGTCACCAAGCTTGTTTATGCCAGAAATGATTGTGGGAGGAAAAGGTGGCTAGAAATGTGCAGAGTGGAGCAGATGGATTTGTGCTCAAATGCTGCTTTTGTTGGGCTTGTGAGAAGGAACTAGAAGAAAGACACAGGCCTGGGTCCCAGAGGTTACAGAGCAAAAGCCCATCAAGGTCAGACCAGGACCACAGAATGCTGGCTTGGATACCTTGGATGCTGGCTTGGACAAGGAGGAAGACCTGGCTCCGAGGTCATCTGAGAGGGAGGTTCAGGAGGTTCAGGGGGGACCTGGAAGGCTCCATGACGGGAGTGGGCAGTGCCAGGAATATCTGGGGGGTCCATGACGGAGCGCCTGGATGAACAGCTGGCTGCCCAGGCAGAAGGCAAGGTCCAGCTCCAACCAGTGCGAATGACCAGCCAGCTGCATGGGCCAGAGAAGAAATGCAGCTGCAGCTGGTCAAAGAACAGGAGCTGCCTCCCCTGCTGGATCCTAGGATGGACAGAACCGAGCAGAGGAAGGTGCAAGAGGTCAATGAGGCTACTCGCAAGGAGGCAGCCTCCACCCTCCCAATGAGGGGCATCAGGCGCCACCTATTTAGCTACTACGTGTCTGGAGTCTGAGACACCTATTTGCAATTCTGTTTGGCGTGTGTTCTCGAGTTCCTTGAACCAATTGAGTTCCATGCGCCTTGGCTTCTTGGACTCCATGCTGACTTCTTCATGCTTTTGACCTATGGACTGGCATTGACCCCTTGTACTTCGTGTGGAACCCCTCATGCTTTGGACCCCTAGACTTCTACGGACTCTTTCATGCTGTGTTAACTTTGTCACAACTTTGTCTATTACTCACTTTGGGCTCTATTAAGTTTGTTGGGAAAAGATCCCTGAAACACGGCCCTTGCAGCTGGGGGCGCTGGGGAATGAAAAAAGGGGCTCGGCAGAGTGGAATAAACACGTAAAACCCCACCTGTGTGTGCCTGTGTGGACTGGGACAGAACAATATGCCCATGTATGCACATTTGTTCACATGATGTTGTGAATGATAAAGCTTGTGTAGGTTGAGACGCACTGTGTACTTCACTACACAGGTTGAGACGCACTGTGTACACAGTACTTCACTACTTCAGATCCTGAACTCTTGAATCTCCACTGAACAGGTGGGATTCTAATTGGGGGGAATTTGTAACCAGTTACTGGTTTTCTGAATGTCTTCAACAATGGCAGAGCTTCAAATGCCTTCGCCGGAAAAGGCCGTACAAATTCAGGGAGATATTCAGTCTCGTATCTGCCTTGAAAATTGCTCACGTTGAACTCTAATGACGAGGAGGGAGGAATGAGCCTGCCGTTAGCGAAAGGACAGCGTTCAAATCACACCAGCTTCTTTATTGATACAAAGAAAAGTACAAATAGCCTTTAAAACTTCTGGAACTGTTTTTTGGTGCCAGCAGCCTTGGTCACCTTGAGGACGTTGAACCGGACAGTCTTGCTGAGGGGGCGGCACTCTCCCACCGTCACAATATCCCCAATCTGCACATCCCTGGGGGGGGGGGGGGGGGGGGGGAGAGAAAGAAGAGAGCTTTAGACTCGCCAACAAGAAATGCAAGCACTGAAAGTAGCTGTCTGCAAGTCAAATGCAGATCCAGGGTGTTGAAGAGGCTGAGTTGGAAGGTGGGGTTAAAGGTGTCATCAGTTTAGACTCCTGACATTGTCACAAAAGAACTAAGCCCCCCCTCCCTTGAATGCTGTTCTCCATTCAATCGTGTCCAACTCTGGGCGATTCTCCACCTCTCCTGACCTCGCACTGTTTGACTTGTTCTATGCTCTGGCTGGCGTCAGCTTTGATGGTGTCCAGTCTAACAATGCCACAAAAGGCAGCTTTGCAACCGCAGGACCAGAACAGTCGCCACCAACACATCAGGTGGACAGGCAAGGCCGACCCCTCTGTGCCTTAGAGGCAATAAGGCTTGCCAAGTTGCCAGGCATTCTGGGGCCATGGCGAGCCAAGCAGAGCAAGCTCTTTGGTTCAGTGAGTGCCAGGTTGGCGTTTTCAGCAATGCCCCGTTCACTCGAGGGCTCTGCAGACCATCGTGAGATTATACATCATCACCAAAGGGCTTGCTGTAGGCCAGGGGTGTCTATCCTGGGCAACTTGAAGACCTGCAAACTTCAACTCCCAGAATTCCCTACCAGGCATAGCTGGCTACGGAATTCTGGGAGAAGTCCAGAAGCCTTAAAGTTGCAAAATGGGAAGCCATAAAAACGCAGGCTGCCATTGCCCCAACTTCCATGGCAGGGGGCCACGCTGGTCCCCGGGTTCCAAATTTTACAATGGATCTCAAAGCATAGCAACTTCTGACCAAAAGGTGCCTGCTAATTCTACCACCTGACCTGGGCGGAGCTTGCCTGGGCCCTTGTGCAATGCAAGAGGAGGAGCCTGCAAGGCCCCCACAGGGCAACCAGATCGCCAGCCCCTCTGGCGGCATTTCCTCACCTGAAGCAGGGAGACAGGTGCACCGACATGTTCTTGTGCCGCTTCTCGAAGCGGTTGTATTTGCGGATGTAGTGCAGGTAGTCCCTGCGGATGACGATGGTGCGCTGCATCTTCATCTTGGTGACCACACCTGGGGGGGGG